ATTGCTCCTCTTCCCTCCCGCACCCGCTTTCCTGTAACCACAAACTCCTGCTGAACACTAACACTACATTTTTAAACCTACCCCATACCTCTTCGATCCCATTACCTATGCTCTCATTAGCCCAGTTATCCTCCAATAGCTGTTTATATCTTACCCTAACTGCCTCCTCTTTTAGTTTATAAACCTTCACCTCTCTCTTCCCTGATGCTTCTATTCTCCTTGTATCCCATCTACCTTTTACTCTCAGTGTAGCTACAACTAAAGTGATCTGATATATCTGTGGCCCCTCTATAAACATGTACATCCTGAAGTCTACTCAACAGTCTTTTATCTACCAATACATAATCCAACAAACTACTGTCATTTTGCCCTACATCATACCTTGTATACTTATTTATCCTCTTTTTCTTAAAATATGTATTACCTATAACTAAACCCCTTTCTATACAAAGTTCAATCAAACGGCTCCCATTATCATTTACATCTGGCACCCCAAACTTACCTACCACACCCTCTCTAAAAGTTTCTCCTACTTTAGGATTCAGGTCCCCTACCACAATTACTCTCTCACTTGGTTCAAAGGTTCCTATACATTCACTTAACATCTCACAAAATCGTTCTCTCTCCTCTACATTCCTCTCTTCTCCAGGTGCATACACGCTTATTATGACCCACTTTTCGCACCCAACCTTTACTTTAATCCACATAATCCTTGAATTTACATATTCATATTCTCTTTTCTCCTTCCGTAATACAGTGGACCCCCGCATACCGATGGCATCACATAACTATTAATCCGCATACCGCTTGCTTTAATCGCAAAAATTTTCCCTCGCATACTGCTTAAAAACCCGCTCACCGATTTTCGTCCGAGACGCGTCCAATGTGCGCCCTCAGCCAGCCTCACACGTACCGCCGTTGGCATTGTTTACCAGCCAGCCTCCGCGGTAACATCCAAGCATACAATCGGAATATTTCGTATTATTACAGTGTTTTCGGTGCTTTTTCTGGAAAATAAGTGACCATGGGCCCCAAGAAAGCTTCTAGTGCCAACCCTACAGCAATAAGGGTGAGAATTACAATAGAGATGAAGAAAAAGATCATTGATAAGTATGAAAGTGGAGTGCGTGTCTCCGAGCTGGCCAAGTTGTATAATAAACCCCAATCAACCATCGCTACTATTGGTGGTACAGCTGCTGCTGCTGCTGCTGCACTGTCAGGTGCTGCTGCTGCTGTAGCATCGTCTGCTGCTGCTGCTGCTGCTGTAGCATTCTCTGCTGCTGCTGCAGCATCGTCTGCTGCTGCTGTAGCATCGTCTGCTGCTGCTGTAGCATCGTCTGCTGCTGCTGTAGCATCGTCTGTTGCTGCTGTACCACCGTCAGCTGCTGCTGCTGTAGCACCGTCTGCTGCTGCTGCTGTAGCATCGTCTGCTGCTGCTGCTGTAGCATCGTCTGCTGCTGCTGCTGTAGCATCGTCTGCTGCTGCTGTAACATCTTCTGTTGCTGCTGTAGCATCGTCTGCTGCTGCTGTACCACCGTCAGCTGCTGCTGCTGTAGCATCGTCTGCTGCTGCTGTAGCATCGTCTGCTGCTGCTGCTGTAGCATCGTCTGCTGCTGCTGCTGTAGCATCGTCTGCTGCTGCTGCTGTAGCATCGTCTGCTGCTGCTGCTGTAGCATCGTCTGCTGCTGCTGCTGTAGCATCGTCTGCTGCTGCTGCTGCTGCTGCTGCTGCTGTAGCGTCGTCTGCTGCTGCTGCTGTAGCATCGTCTGCTGCTGCTGCTGCTGCTGCTGCTGTAGCGTCGTCTGCTGCTGCTGCTGTAGCATCGTCTGCTGCTGCTGCTGTAGCATCGTCTGCTGCTGCTGTAGCATCGTCTGCTGCTGCTGTAGCATTGTCTGCTGCTGCTGTAGCATTGTTTGCTGCTGCTGCTGCTGTAGCATCGTCTGCTGCTGCTGTAGCATCGTCTGCTGCTGCTGTACCACCGTCAGCTGCTGCTGTACCACCGTCAGCTGCTGCTGCTGCTGTAGCATCATCTGCTGCTGCTGTAGCATCGTCTGCTGCTGCTGTAGCATCGTCTGCTGCTGCTGTAGCATCGTCTGCTGCTGCTGTAGCATCGTCTGCTGCTGCTGTAGCATCGTCTGCTGCTGCTGTACCACCGTCAGCTGCTGCTGCTGCTGCTGTAGCACCGTTGTTGGTGGGGCTTATTGAGAATACCAAGAAACAATTAACCCCAGAGGATTTGCCACCCAGGATAACCCAAAAAAGTCAGTGTCATCGAAGACTGTCTAACTTATTTCCATTGGGGTCCTTAATCTTGTCTCCCAGGATGCAACCCACACAAGTTGACTAACACCCAGGTGAACACGGAAAAATGCCTGGAACTAGTGCTCATATTGGTGAATTTAAAGCCAGCAAAGGTTGGTTTGAGAGATTTAAGAATCGTAGTGGCATAGTGTGATAAGGCCTGTTCTGGAAGAAAATGCCAAACAGGACCTACAGTACTCAGGAGGAAAAGGCACTCCCAGGACACAGTGTCTCATCAGTCATTGATGCATCTTCAATAAAGGTAAGTGTCATTTATTCTTCATTTAGTAGACTAGTACATGCACAATATATACTGTGCATGTACTACTCTACTATTGTGCATGTATCCTTCTCTTTGTGTGTAGGAAAATGTATATTTCATGTGGTAAATTTTTTTTTTTCATACTTTTGGGTGTCTTGCACGGATTAATTTGATTTCCATTATTTCTTATGGGGAAAATTCATTCGCATACCGATTATTTCGCATAACAATGACCCCTCTTGCACGGATTAAAATCGGTATGCGGGGGCCCACTGTACTACACTAAAATTCTAGCAACTTCAAATCTTGTGGGAGAAAGTTGGTAGGCCTACATATGAGAGAATAGGTCTGCATGGACTGACCGCAGTATAAAAAAAAATCTTCCCGCAAGCAGGAGAAAAAAAACGACCGCATTTTTACTTTAAAACAGCGACTTTGTGGTGTATTTTCATGTGGCATTTATAGTTTTATTCTCATTTTTCTTGGTCTCATTTGATAGAATGGAAGATATATTACAGAAAGAGGTGATTTTGAATGGTTTACTAAAAGTAGCTTGAAGTTGAGCTCAGAGGAGAAGAAATTTTAAGATTTTTGATAATGTTCAAGAGTAAACAAATCATGTCATGTCAAATACATTTCAACTGGTGGGTCTAACATGCCTTCACGAGTGCACTGATATTTATACAATTTTCACAATTACAGTGGACCCCCAACCAACGAAGGCATCATCTAACGAAAAATTTGACTAACGAAGTGTTAGAAATTAAAAAGCTTGGCCCGACCAACGATGAAAAACTCTACTAACATCATTCGTCCCGAACGTGTCCACGTGTCCCATCTGGCCCGAGCGCGCCTTAGTTGCCACCCCTTCAGTTAGTGTGCCAGTGTTTACAAGCCAGTGTGGTCGCTTCCACGCATACATTTGGTATATTTTTTATTATTCCAGTGTTTTTAGTCCTTGTAACTGCTAAATAAGCCACCACAGGCTCCAAGAAAGCTTCTAGTGCCAACCCTGTGGTAAAAAAGGTGTGAATTACAATTGAAATGGAGATATGTATGAAAGTGGAGTGCATGTCTCCGAGCTGGGCAGGTTGTATAACGAACTCAAATCAACTATCGCTGCTATCTTGGCCAATAGAAAGGCAATTAAGGAAGCTGTTGTTGCGAAAGTTGCAAGTATGTTTTCGAAACACAGATCACAAGTACTCGAAGATGTTGAGGGACCACTGTTGTTGCTGTTGTGGTGGTGGTGGATAAAAAAAAAAAAAAAAAAAAAAAAAAATCGGGAGATAGTATCTCTCAATCCATCGTGTGTGAAAAGGCAAGGCAGTTGCATGACAATTTAATTAAAAAAAAAAAAATGCCTGCAACTAGTGGTAATGTGAGTGAATTTAAGGCCAGCAAAGGTTGGTTTGAGAGATTTAAGAATCATAGTGGCATATACAGTGTGATAAGGCATGGTGAGGCTGCCAGTTCGGACAAAAAAGCGGCTGAAAAATACGTGCAGGAATTCCAGGGGTACATAGAGGCTGAAGGATTGCAACCCCAACAAGTGTTTAATTGTGACAAAACAGGCCTGTTTTGGAAGAAAATGCCAAACAGGACCTACACTACACAGGAGAAAAAAAAGCACTGCCACGACAAGCCTATGAAAGACAGGCTAACCTTAATGTTGTGTAGTAATGCTAGTGGGGATTGCAAAGTGAAGCCTACTTGTTTATCACTCTGAAACTCCCAGTGTGTTCAAGAAAAACAATGTCATCAAGGCTAATTTGTGTGTGATGTGGAGAGCAAACAATAAGGCATGGGTCACTAGGGACATTTTCTGTGTGTTTGGCACCACTGTGAAAAATTTCCTCCTGGAAAATAAATTGGACCTAAAGTGCCTCCTGGTATTAGATAATGCTCCTGGTCATCCTTCAGACTTGCCAGAGTGAATTTCAGGGGAGTCGAGTTTCATAAAAGTGAAGTTTTTGCCTCCTAATACCACTCCTCTCCTCCAGCCCATGGACCAGCAGGTCATTTCAAATTTCAAAAAACTTTGTAGCAAAGCAGTGTGTGTTTGTGTGTGTGTGTGTGTGTGTGTGTGTGTGTGTGTGTGTGTGTGTGTGTATGTGTGTGTGTGTGTGTGTGTGTGTATGGTGTGTGTGTGTGTGTGTGTGTGTGTGTGTGTGTGTGTGTGTGTGTGTGTGTGTGTTGTGTGTTGTGTGTGTGTAGAGAGAGAGAGAGAGTGTGAGTGCAAGTGTGTGCAAGAGTGCGAGTGTGTGTGAGTGAGTGTGCGAGAGTGTGTGAGAGTATGTGAGTGTGAGAGTGGGGGGAGGGGGGGGAAGCATTCTCCTCCCTTGGTGGCAGACAGCCAGTTTTAAAAAAAAAAAAAAACACATTAAAGCCAGACCCATACACAGCAGGACAGGGTGTTAGGAGAAAAACCACTTACCTTTGGGCCTCTTCAAATTCTTTTTCTTCCATCTCTTCACGAGTTGGATAATTTACTTGCCGAGAACGACTACGAGTGCATAGGTTTGGAGTGTGTGGAATAGTCACGCCAAGATTATTTTTCTTCTTCCCTTCTAGATTCAAGTCATCTGCAATAAAAATAATGAGAACAATCAATATTACTAGGAATAAGCAGAATCAATGCTACAGTATAAAGCTAAACAAACATTTTTATAGTGAAAATTAAGTAAGCTGTATATTTGCATGAAATAGTACAAAAAATGGCAGACAGTCTGATGTCTGTACGATTCCGAGTGGGGGAGGGGGAGGGTTATTACCCCCTCCTGAACCAGGCCTTATAATTCTTGGCCTGATCAGTCAAGCTGCTGCAGCTAGCAGTATGCAGGTCAATGTCAGTACAGACCAACTGCTCAGAAACTGTCTGGAAGAACCCATCAAGTTTTTCAAGAAAGTTGGGGGATACATTACAGACATGCAGTAAAAAGTAACGTCATAGGACACCGCAGTGATGACTGCGTAAACTTTGAGATAAGAGTTACAGGTCTAAAAATGTACAAAATAAATCATAGTTGGCAGATGCTAGTTTTTGCTAGATAGTCTGCTTTATAAAGAGGTAGGACTTCAACAAGTAGGGCAGCAATTGTGCTTCTGGGATTCTGGATATGTAAATTAAGAATGCTCTCTGATACAAGACACTAAGATATGATGAAATGAGAGTGGGATTTAAGTCCTCACAAAGTGTCATCCAGCATTTCCAATAAGATATCCATGTGCAAGTATTAAGATGCATAATCTTGTGAAAATAGCTCCCTCCCCTCCCCACTAGAGAACACTGGAAAGAAGGGCAAAAAGTCTAATTCTGGCAACTTATCAGACTAACCTGGAGCACCTTTGTTCCCAGAACTTTTGCTTGACAAAAAAAAAAAAAAAAAAAATCTGTGGCTTAATCAAGCAGCAGTCTGTATGCTCATTGTCTAGAACATCAGCGGCTGAGAACCCAGCATAAAAATGCCTGCTTCGAAGTCAAGTGTAACCACTGTGCATATTGTGACAGCGATGACACCAAAGTAACACACTGCATAGAATATTTAAGGCAATGGTGGAGGCTTAGCTACTGACCCCTACCTCCTAACTTGTCACATGTTAGATTCAACCCTACCATGCCTGTTCTTAAAACTATGTGCAGAGCGTGCCTCTGCCACTTCCTTACCAAGATCATTCCACTTCCCATCCAACCTGAGACAATACTTCCTGACATCCCCTTGGCTTATCTGTCTAAATTCAAGCTGTGTTCCAAGGTTCCATTTCTCTCCTCCCAAACATGGTGTTCCTGTCTATCTTAGCAATTTCAGAGTATTTTGAATGTTCTCTCTCGTGGCTCTTCTGTCCTCCAGTGTCTTTAGATTAAATTAGTCTCTCCGAATAGCTCAGGTCTCTTAACTCAGGAACACACCATGGTGCATACTTCTACAGTTTCTTAACATGCTTCCTCAGGTATATTTACTATACTAATGCAGCATACTCCAATATGGGCCTGACACTTTGTATAAGGACTCCAAAAACACCTAAAGTTGCATCATCACTTGAAGCAAGGTTCCAGTTATATGAAGTGCTGGAAAAGCTGAAAAGATTGGAACCTTGTTTACAAAAAATATATTTAGGTTTTCATGCTTCAGCCAATGCATTTCAATATTTCACCAATTTGAGACAACCAGCTAAAGTTCCACTTCCCTTAAGCCTGTGTTCATTACAGTCTCTTCATTTAATGACGTACCCATTTAAAGACCGCTCGGACTTACAACCAGCTTTCTGACCAGTATGCATAGCTATGTATAAGAGCTGATGTCCTCTATTCTGTTTATTACAACATACAGAAAATTACATGTACTGCATAAACATTTAAAAATATAATAAGGTTATAAATGGAGCAAAGGTGACTATTAACCCTTTCGGGGTTTCGGCCGTACTAATACGGCTTTCGCGCCAGGGTTTTGACGTTCTAGTACACAAATTCTAGCGCCCTCAAATCAAGCAAGAGAAAGCTGGTAGGCCTACATATGAAAGAACGAGTCTATGTGGTCAGTGTGCGCAGTATAAAAAAAAATCCTGCAGCACACAGTGCGTAATGACAGAAAAAAACAGTGTTTTTGGTTTAAAACAGCGACTTTGCACTGTATTTTCGTATGGTATTTATGGTTGTATTCTAGTTTTCCTGGTCTTGTTTTATAGAATGGAAGACATATTAAAGAAATTGAGATGATTTTGATTGGTTTCACAATGAAAAGTACCTTGAAATTGAGCTCAAAGTAGCAGAAATGTTCTATTTTTTTGCCAAAGTTCAAAAGTAAACAAATCATGCCATGCGTCCAATACACGTCAACTGGTGAATCTAATATTCTTTCACAAGTGCGCTGGTATTATTTATACCATTTCTACACTAATACAGTAGTCTGCATAACAGTAAATCTTCCAATTTTTGTGAGAATAAAAATTCAAAGTGGAAAGCAAAAGAAATGTAAGAGGGGCATGGGGATGTGACTAATGAACAGAGGAAATGTTTAGTGCCAGGAATGCCTTTCTTATTTATTCTGGACCCTATTTGGAAATTGGCATCTTTTGAAATTTGTGTGAAATTGGCAAAATTGCTAAATTCTGACCACTTCATTGGATAGTTGAAATCGGTAAATGGGTGGTTTCTTGTACTCATTTGATAGAAAAAAAAACGGAGCTGTAGCGGAATAGTTATGATTTTTGTCGACTAGTACGCTGGAACTGGCCGAAAATAGGGCTCAAAGTGGGCAAAATTGCCGATGCGTAAGCATCGTCGAGACCGCTAACTTAGCGAGAGCATAATTCCCTAAGTTTTCCATCAAATTTCATACTTTTGGTGTCATTAGGATCGGGAAAATATTCTCTATCTTTATATAAGATTTTTTTTTTTTTTTTTTAAATTTTGGCGACCCTGAGAACAAGTCTCTGAGAGGGCCTGGCGACCCTCAAAGGGTTAAAATAATATCTAAAGATGGTTGACAAACCAATTACCAGTATGGTATGCTCCATGCTTAACGACTATTTCGTTCATCGACCTGCTCCTAGGAACATAACTCCGTCATTAAGCAAGGAGAGAGTACTTTTTCTGCCTTTTGTTATGCATTAACAGTAGGGTATTTTAAATATCAGTAAGAGAACTTTACTGCTATTTTACTGATGAAGCATAACCTCTCCAGGGAGAGTTTATAGGGCAAGGAAAGAAAAAAAAAAAAAAGATTGGCAAGAAATGAGTCTTACACCAACTGAAAACACTTCTGGAGCAGAGGCAGTCACTGACTTCCACTCCAGAACTACAGATATTAGAGCTAGCAAATAACCTTCCACCCAAATTCCATCAAAATAACGACATTAGTCTGTGCAAACATACAGGGTCTAAAGCCGTCACCAAACAAAATTCTTTATATCAAGGGACTGCTCACGGAATCAAATGCAATGTTTGCAGCATTTACAGACCCCCACAATCATTTTGACAATGAAATATGGATCCCAGGTTATAACCTATTCACATGTGACAGACAGAACAGGCAACAAGGGGGAGGGGGGTTGTCCTATATGGCAGAGTTGCCCATTTCCTCAGAACTACTGAACACCTCAAATGATATAGTTGAAGGTTTGGCAGTAAAAACTGAAACTCAAAACCTTGTCACTGTGGTTGTATAAAAGCCTCCAGATACAACTTCCCAGCAATTCTGAGAGCAGCTTTTGAAAATTGACCAGTCTGTAAAATATCCCAATTCCTGCCCCAAACATCTTGCTACTGGGAGATTACAACTTGAGACACCTAAAGTAGAAGATGTAGCAAATAATATTGTAACAGATATCACCCCAAGAGGCAGCTCAGAGGGAAGAAAAAAAAAAAACAGACAGCTATTAACCCTTTGAGGGTTTCGGACGTACTAGTACGGCTTACGACCCAGGGTTTTTGACGTACTAGTACGCCTAAATTCTAGCGCCCTCAAATCTAGTGGGAGAAAGCTGTTAGGCCTTCATATGAAAGAATGGGTCTATGTGGTCAGTGTGCACAGTCTAAAAAAAAATCCTGCAGCACAGTGCATAATGAGAAAAAAAAAAACTGACCATTTTTTTGGAATAAAACAGCGACTGCACTGTATTTTCGTATGGTATTTATTGTTGTATTCTAGTTTTCTTTGTCTCATTTTATAGAATGGAAGACATATTACAGAAATTGAGATGATTTTGACTGGTTTTACAATGAAAGGTACCTTGAAATAGAGCTCAAAGTAGCAGAAATGTTCGATTTTTACCAAATTTCAAAAGTAAACAAATCGTGCCAAGTGTGCAATACACGTCAACTGGTGAGTCTAATATTCTTTCACAAGTGCACCAATAATATTTATACCATTTTTTACACTAATGCAGTAGTCTGCATAACAGTAAATCTTATATTTTTTGTGAGAATAAAAATTCAAAGTGGAAAGCAAAAGAATATAAGAGGGGCCTTGAGACGTGACTAATGACCAGAGGAAATGTCATTTTAGTGCCAGGAATGTCTTTCTTGTTTATTCTGGACCCTATTCGGAAATTGGCATCTTTTGAAATTTGTGTGAAATTGGCAAAATTGCTAAATTCTGACCACTGTACTGGATAGTTGAATTTCATAAATGGGTGGTTTCTTGCACCCATTCGATAGAAAAAATGGAGTTCTAGCGAAATATTCATGTTTTTTGTCGACTAGTACAGTGGAATTGGCCGAAAATGGGGCTCAAAGTGGGCAAAATCGCCGATGCGTAAACATCGCCAAGACTGCTAACTTTGCGAGAGCATAATTCCGTAAGTTTTCCATCAAATTTCAAACTTTTGGTGTCCTTATGATCGGGAAAAGATTCTCTATCTTTTCATAAGAGAATTTTTTTTTGTTTTTAAATTTGGCCGACCCTGAGAACGAGTTTCGGAGAGGGCCTGTCGACCCTCAAAGGGTTAAATCTGCACCAAATTCATCTTAAACCAGCAAACATTAGAGCCTACAAGACTAGAAAATACACCGAACCTCATCTTCACTAACAACGATGATCTGATACGTAATATAACCACATTAAAGACAATACACTCGAATCAC